GAAAAAAAGCTTGTCGCCGCCGCTTTCGTGTCTTTTTGTTACAAGCAGACATCAACAAAGCTGCATCGCATCGAACTGAATCACCCCCGGCTGCCCTCAGCCAGGTCAGCGCGGCTCCCTCTAGTGGCACCCGAAAGGATCACTGCCCGTACGACGGTGCGCTTGTTCAGCCGGCGGTGCCTTGCGGTCGAATTCCATCCACGGACACGCTTGGAACTCAAAACACTCAAATCATCTGCCGCCAGCCAAAGGAAGGGAAATGGTGCTCATTTCCCCCACCCTATCTATCCTGCGATCGGGTTTTTTGGGCTTGGAAATGGCCGCAATGTCCCCTTTCAAGCCATTCGAGTCGGTCTCGAACGGCCGCCATCTGGAACGGCCGCTTTCCCTCGTGAATATTCACTCCGGGATGTCCGGTCTCCTTCATTTCAATCTGAAAAGCAGCGAGCGAAGCGAAGCCGTCGCCCGCTTTGACAGGTTTCCTTTCTTTTTTGGGCTTTCGGGGCCAGACTCATTTTTGTTCTCGATCGCAACGATTTCAGCCACGGGTCCGTCGTGAATTGGAAATGCCGTCGAGGCGAGTCCAAACAAAGCAAAATCAAAGCAAGAAAGAAACGGGAAGAGTCGGACGGCACGTTTGTACCTCGTATCCAAAGGCGACGGCCATGACGGCGATGAGCAAAGCGAAAAAGGCTTCCAACCTCCTGAGGCCTGCGTGGCGGACGAGCAGAGAGCAGTTTGGTTGCGGGCGGGCGGGCGCGTGACTTTGGGGGGCGCGCTTTGAGAGCAAAAGCACTTACCGTACTTGTCTAAGAAGAGGAAGGCAAACGTGTCCACCACGGTGATGAGGACGCCGCCCCACAAAGGAATCCTGTCGGGGGTCGCCGCAACGAGAGAGAGCGCTCAGCTCAGCGAGGATCGGCGCAAAAGGCGGCTCGTCGGGCGCTCTCACCTGCCGGACGAGAGGAGGTTGAAGGCGATGGCGCAGCCGATCACCTCCTGCATGTCGGAGCCGACGATGGCCAGCTCCACCATCAACCACAGGAGGACGCGGGGCACCTGCCAACGCGGTCCGCGCTCCTTTTAGCCGCCTTGTCGGCGAAGGGAGGCGTGGCCGCCGGGACACTCACCGTGCGGTAGTGGCGGTGGCAGACTTGGGCCAGGTGCATCCCGGTGACCGCGCCCAGCCGGGCCGACATCCTCTGCAGCAGGAGGCCGACGACGGTGGCCCCCAGCAACACCCACAGAAGCTGACGGCAAGCGACTATTAGCCGCGAGCCCCGCAAAACGGCTTGGGAGGGAGCCGACTTGTTTTCCCTTTCTTTCTTTCTTTCTTTTGATTTGGATTCGATGAGGAAAAAGCAAATTCCATTGAGCAAAAAAGCCAATCGTGCAAAATGAGCAAAAGTCTGGCATTCTGGCGGCTTGAGGCAGCCATTGGGGCTCATTTCCGGGCCGCAATCCAAACAAAGTTCTCTCGAAATTTTCTGCCATGAAAAGCTGGTCTAGCGACCCGTCAAAGATCGGTGACCTGTTGTCGCGGGGAAGCGGGTTTGAAGACTTGCCACAAAGACAAAACTGGGTCAGTCCACTCCGCAAGGTCCGCTGCGCCGCGACAGTTCAGCTCTTACTCCGAAGGAGAAATGCGTCGTTGGCGGGGGCTCGGGCGGATTTCGGACGCATGCTGGAAGGCTGCGCGCCGACAAGACAAACGGCAACACGACGGCACCGTCGTCATCGGCCACCCTCTTTGTGCTCGGCTATTTGCCAATTCGTCTCTTTTGAGTTTTTGCCGGTCTCCGGAAGCGACTCACCCATCACGTATCACCCACGGGAACTTTGAACGTCGACAGTGTCTTTTTTGGGGGGGTTGCTTTTAAACACGGGACGTTACCGAAGAGCCACGCGGGCAAGGTGGTTGTTGTACTTTGGGGAAATAAAGGAAGTGTCGTCCAAAGAGCCCGCCCAGCCCTTTGGATTCCTTTGTTTGGTTTCGGCCAATGACGTCATCACCCCGTTTGTCTTGCTCGTTATTGCGACACGCGCACACGGGAAGAGCCCGCTAACCTGTTTTGCGGGTCCGGCCAGCCTGATCTTTCCCAGCACGTTTCGAAATAGGCACCTTTTGAAAACGGCCGAATAAAAGGCTCCAACCCGCAGTCGTACCTTAAAGCCGGCCTTGGCTCCAGACTGCAGGTCCGACTCGATGTTTCCCGGGTCCAGGTAGGCGATGCTCATGAGGAAGCCCGGCCCGGTGAAGGCCCACAGCTTGCGGAAACTGAAGCCGCCCTGCGGGCGACAGACACGCAGACCGGGCGGAGCGCGCATGTGACGCGGGAACGCCACGACATCAAGAAGAAGAGTCGCATCGCAAACGTCCCAAAAATCCCAACGCTCCCCCGGAGCCGCAAAATACTCGAGTGCGGCCCCGATAAAACGACCGATTAAAGTTGGCCGCTTCAGTCGCGTTCCCGCGAACCGCGGCGATATCTGCGGCAGACCTCGGCCAATGCGCCGCGTCTTCCCCCGCCATTTCCTCCACCGCCGTCCCGGATTGTATTTCGCGCTCGGATCGACCTCGTCGGTGGCGACGAACCGACCGGGTCACGCGCGCGGCACGCGGCTTTGCGGACGGATTACCTCGTCGTCCTCTTGGGGCACGGGGACGCTCTCCTCCAAATAAGTGGCCGAAGCGGCTCCGGGGTCGTGTCCGTAGAGGAAGGCGCCCCGCTGCGTGTGCCCGGTCCGGATCACGACCTCCTGCCCGCAGACGGCGCCCTCTGAATGACGGCGCACACAAACGCACGCAAAAAGGCATCAAGACGACCCGCCGAGACCGAAGCGCCCGAAGCCTCGCCCGCTTCGTCTCTTCCTCTCGCTTCCTCTGCGGTCGGAGTTTCGTTGAAGAGAGCAAGCGGTTGAGCGCGCCCATCATCATACGTGCGGCTCGGGCCCAAACTTAAGTTGTCCACAACGTGTCGGCTCAACGCAACGAGAGCAATACAGATGATGATCGGGGGGGGAGATTGAAAATTACACATTGATCCGAGAGAAAGAAATTTTGGGCACGCGCACACTGAAGGTTGGCGACACGCCGGCGGCGCACATTTCAATCCAGGTTGACGCAAACGTGCTCGACTGAGCCGATTTTTCTTCCTCCTTCGCCGGCATCGAATGAGACACCAGAGAGGGAAAAAGACAAACGCGTCCTCCATCGGACAGGTTTTCGTTTCGTGACGAGCGGGCCGTCAAATCTCAGCAGCCGAGAGAACGGCGGCGCCGCTGCGCATTTCCGCTGCGCATTTCCGCTGCGCATTTTCGCTGCGCTTCTCCTCGCCAGGGTCGTCCCGGAGCCTCTCCCGGCCGTCTTCGGGCGGTCGGCGAGGCGCGCTCACGCTCGCGCCCCGGGACGATTTCGAGTGCTCTGTGAACGTGCCGTCCGTGTCTTTGGAACGCGGGAGCAAAGCGCAGCACCCGCAGAAAAGCCGCGCCGGCGC